CCAAGGAGGCATGATGCCACTTATTGTGGATAATAACCCAGGATGGGTTGTCATGTTGTGAGAACTCAGTTTGCGATCCATTACAACTCCAAGACCCTTTTCACATGTCCTGTTGTCAAGCTCGGTATGCCCCATCTTATACTATGCATTTGATTAATTTTCCCTAAAGAATCTCATGCTTCTGTTGCATTTCATTCTGTTCCTTAATTAGGAGGATGATTGCACACCCAACACATAGGGGTTGAAGATTGCCCTGTTCTCTTGAAAAGCAGGCTGCTCTACTGGACACAACTTTCTAGTTTGGGCAGAATTTAACTAGGTAATCATGGCTGGAACAGAAGAGATGAATTGGGTTAACAGGTCGGTTCATAAAAGGGAGGTAGTTGCAATGGGAGCAGGACCAGATTAGTTTGCCAGGACACTTTGGGAGCCAAGATACGCACAAGTTGTCCCTGCATCTGTTACTTTTTCTTTCCAAATCAGAGCTGATATTTGCAGAAATTAGCAGGACCACTGAAAAGCTTTTGTTTGCTAAAAATGTCTTAGTAAAACCTATGCTGCAGTAAACATGTATAGAATTGTAGCTGTACAGTGCAATCTTGTGCCTCCCTATTCAGAAGGATGGAGTTCAATGGTCTTGCTCCCCAGAAAGTATGCATAGGATTGCAGCCTTAGTTGCTGAATCCCCAACACCCATCTCAACTCAGGGACTATTTTAAAATTTTTGAATGATAGCAGTGTGAACAAATAGTTTGTTTTTGGAAACCCTACTTTGGTTTGCCTGAATCAGATGTTAAGGACTTTTGTAAAGCAGTCATCTCAGCCTCACTATTCACGGGATATCACTGTAGTTTAGATATAAAGGATATTTTCATTCCATCACTACATTTAAATCTATTCATCAAATTAATTGTTGCATTGGCCTTAGGAATTACACCACTGGTACAGCTTCAACTTATAACTTTCTTCTACATAAACTAATATTTCAAAGTTTTCCAATGTGAATCCAAGAAGCTGATACTGAACATTTATCAGACTGGATCACTTTATTTACCATGAAAAACTAATCTAAAATTTTAGGTCCCTCTGTTGCCTTACAAGACCCAGCAATTACAGGGCAATTGGATTAGTTCTTGGTCAATTGCATCGCTGGCATAAGAAGAAACAGAGTGGAGAAAAAGCCTGTACCAACTTCTCTGGGGTTTGACACGGGACCGTCAGATTTAACAGGAAACTAAACAGAATGATTGAGACCTGCCCACCAGTGATGCATCTCACTCCATTAAGGCTGTCATCACAATTGCTCACTCATCATCTTCTATCAAGTTGGGCAGGTTTCGGGGCCCAAGAGAGAGTCCCTGCCTGGGGAGACATGGATCTCATCTGTGAGGAGAGGAAAAGTTCAGACCCAAAGCATAATATTTTTGCATCTCATCTGATTTCAATTTCAACGGCTGCCTTTAAGTTGTTCTGCTTGCTGTTGTGTTTTGAGTAGAGTGGAGACAGCAGGGCGGCAGAGGAAGGGGCTTCTGCAAATATTTGCACGCAACCTCAACAGGCTGTTGTGGAAACAACTTCTCCTCCTAAGAGGGACACCATGCTGTTCTCATGTGAATTGCTCTCCCAAACAACATACTGCACCATGTGGATGTGTGTGCTACAGGATAATGAGTGCAACGATGCTGAAGTCAGAATCATGCCACCTCACACCTGGCTTGATTTATCTGGTGGGAGAAAATGCCCAATTTGACACACGAGCTTGGAGGCCCAGCTAGATCTAGGTCAAATCCCAGATGTGACTGGCTGTGTCTCTTCCAGAGGCTTTGATCACACCTGTGTTTCATATTTATCAAACAACTTTAGACGGCTCCCCCTCAGTATTGTTAGGTAATGAACATCCTGTTCTTCCGTACACCATATATCAAGAGGTGAATTCAAATGCATCTGAAGAGCTCCATTACTGAATCTGACCAACACTCCACCTAGTGCATTCTCATTCCTTTACTCAGTACCAGATGCAGTGATCAGAGAAACTGTATCAATCAGCTACACAATACTCATAACTCACTTTCCAATTTTCCTGATGGTGGCTTTGTTTTGCTTTGACAGCTGCAACAAACTTAGGGGAGATTTTCCACAAACTGACAGCAGTTATTCCAGGATCTTTCCCCCTTTCAAGTATTTATAACAGCTAATTTGAAACCCAATAATACTGTATGTGTGTTTCCAATTTAAGTGTGTGTTTGCTGCAAACTTACCATTGTGTAATTTCCCATTTTTCCAGTCTTAAGAGAATTTTCCCCTAAGGCGCTTTCCAGTGTTGAAAGAAGGATCTATGTTGAACATTTCTGTGTCACTGGTGAATTATACCTTCACATTGTCCAGGTTTCTTAATAAACCTGCTGCATGGCAAGCCATTTTCCTGCCTGAGACAGAACAACAAATGGCACCCTCTCACCCAAAGTCAGAAAAGAGGTAGAAGATGGAAATCAAAATCATAGAGGCTGCAGCAACGCTTCTGTTTCCAGGACTGTTTAACTTCAAAAAAGGGCAACTTAGGGAAGATTGTATAGAAGTACACAAAATTATGCATGGAGTGGAAAAAGTGGATGAGACATTTTTCTGTCTTTCTTTGATACGAGAACCCAGCCTTACCCCATGATTGGCGAGAGATTGAGGACAGCTAAAACACAGCATATACAGGGGGTGCCAAAATGTATACACATTTTAAGAGATGTTATCTATGTATTACTTTCTGAAGTTCAACTGAATTATGGTAGCAATGTGTAGTATGACATTAGCTCTAAAGCTGGTATTAATCAAATTACTAGCAGTACCATGTGAAAGTATTTAATATTTTCCTTTCTTAAAATTTAATATTTTCCTTTCTTTTTTGGCACCCTCTGTAGTTAAATTATGGAATTTGCTTCAGCAAGATGAAGCAATGATTGCCAATTTGGCTGGCTTTAAAGGGGACCTGGACAAATTCAAGTAGAAGGCTATCAATGACTATTAGTTATGATGGCTATATGGTACCTCTAGTATCAAAGGCAGTAGGTCTACATAGATCAGCTGCTTGAGAACACAAATGAGGGCTTGTGGGCCTTCTACAAACAGCTGGTCACCTAGAGTGTGAACAAAAATCATGACTTCATGAATTCTTGGCTTGATCCAGCATGAATCATATTAAGTCAAGATTGACCAATATATTTGGCACCTAAGATACAAAATGTCACATGCACTTCTCTCTGAGGGTAAAACTACAACAATAAATTTAGTACCTAATGATGTGCTGCCATTTTATGATACCCTAAGCCAGCTGCCTGTGCAAGCCACCACACTCTGTGTAATTATAAAGCTGGCCCTTGGTGCTGCCTAGGAACATTGCTGCTCTGTACCCTTTTTTCAGAGAAACCAGCATTTTGCATCTGCTTTTTTGTTATCAGTTCAAAGCTCTCTTTTATGTCATGACTCTGACATAAAAGTAGGTCCCTTTCATAAAAGTCTTATGGACTCTAGCATAGCACATATGTATCAATGAACTAATGTTAGTCCAGTAAATGTAAGGTCAGACTTTAAAATAACTGCAGAAGAATTGTGCATCATTCTTCTAACACTCAACTTGGCTGCTTACCTACAGCAAATGGGAACTTCAATTTTATGCATACTTCTCTGGGCATAAGGCCCAGTAAACACAGTGGACCATACTACCAAGTAGACAGTTATTCAGAGTTCAGTTACTGGTTCATAGTAGTCCTGGCCCTAAGATGGAAAAGCACAATGGCAGAGGTAGTAACCCAGTGCCTTCTGCAAGTACTGGCCTACAACTCCCTTAAACTCTGATCATGGCGCATGCAAGCTGGGGTTGTTGGGTGTTGTGCTCCAAGACATCTGATGAGCACCTGTCTGCCTACCCCTCAACCTGGGTCACCAATGTGTATCCACAAACATCTCTTGGTACCTTCCATTCCATGTCCTTCCTGATTTTATATCATAAGAACCCAACTCAGTCTTGTTCTCAAGACTCTTTGCTTACTTTGCTTTAGCTTCAGCAGTTTGCTTTCTCAGATGTGTATTTTGTGACCAGCCATGCCCACCACTGGCAGCAATGTTATGAATGGGCAAGCCTCCACAGCAGCCATTTTATAAGAGTTCCCACAACTCTCTTTCAAAATTCCATTAACAGATGGTGGACCTTGCCTGCTCCAACAGCCCTGCTTGGCTGGAGAGTAGCCACTCCACTTCCCAGAACATGGTATCAGGTAACAGCAGCCTTTGAAGACCCCACAGGAGTGACCCATAATGCTTGGAGTGATTCCCCTTGACCACTCTGCTACAGCTTATCAATTTTGTGTCAGCTCAGCACTGCAACTTTTTGTGTCCTGTTTCTTATGCTGCTCTGGTTGTAGTCTCAAAAATATGTCCTATTGCAATTCTTTTAAATCTGCATGGATTTTTCATTATCTTCTTAGGAGTAAATGTACTTTACTATACTCAAGTCAGGTTCAAGGGTACTGACATGGTAAACTTTTAAAAGACAGGCAACCAAACTGATCATCAGGCCCAGCTGGCATGTCTCCTTGCATCACTTGTACAAGGGAAAGTGGGAAGCAAACCAGGTCCTCTCATCTCTCCCCAACCCTGAACCCCCACAACTGCAGTGCAGAGAAGAAACACCCTTACAACATTTGTTGCGGTGCTAGGTCCCTGCCTCCCACAACCTCCTCATCTTGTTCACAGTTGATCATCATAGCGATTGGTACAACCATACATAAACAGCTATATCATCATCAGGCACCAGCCAAATGCTTGGAAATGCGCATTTTCTTTCACACGTCCTGCGTCTGTAGCAACAAGCACTGAATGCACCACTGCTCCCTCGTCAAGTGAATCATTCGTGACTAGATGATTTTTGGGCGCAGTGTGCCATCTGGTGGAAACCAAAGATTTAAACTAGTCCCACTAAAAGTACTTTCCCCAAGTTTAATGGAATTAGGACATTTTCAGTCTGGAAAATCTGAATATATTTTAATATCTTAATTATATTTTTCTCTTAAAATAATGTTTGCACATTTTGTGTCCTTTTGACACTAGATAGAGTGGTAAGTTTTATCACATTGTGAAGCCTGAGTAGACAGACAGCAAGCAGATCAGAGAACATAAGCCTAGAAGACCAGGGTTTGTCATTAAACCTACAAACCAGTCCACAAGAGAAGATGGAAACATTTAGGATGAAGTGACTGGGTTATCTTCATGTTCATGCCTTACAACTTTAGATATTTATTGGGCTTTAGGACATATCTGCTGAGTATGTATAGAAGTTAGAGGTTTGTGCCACATGCTGAAAGCTAAGCAGATCTGGGGGTTCTACCTGTGAAAAGGTGAGCTTGCTCTGTAACAGGGAGATATACAGTATCAGCACAAATCACCAGGATGTTTAGTGGGACTTGTGTAAAGAGATATTGCTGGTTTAATGCATCCTCTGAAGTTAAAGATTCCAAAATGGCTTAGTTCATAAACCTTGCATGCTATCCTTGTACCAAAGAGGACAGAATTTATCCATGTGAACCATGTGCCACAACCACACCTCTCCTTCCCCATCAGGAGTGTCTCCTCTTGAGATGCGCATCTGCAATACAGGGAGCAGAACTGACTAAAGGCACACAAAAGTCCATGCCAGCAACTATGGCTTTTCAATCCATATGCAGGCAACACCATGGTAAGTACCATTTGAGTTAGATGAGATGTGGCACCTCAAATTCCAAAGCAGCTGCCCTTGCTGGATTTCAAACAGGAAGCTGCTGCTTGTCTTTTCTGGCTAAACTTAATCAAGAGGATCATCAGTGCGCTCCTGAACAACAAAGCAATATTCAGCACAGGTATGTTGATGTAGACAAACCTACATCCATGTCAGCTGAGTGCTATTATATATAAATGAAAAGGTAAGTTATTCAGCTTCTAGAGAGGTACAATTTCAAAATTCTGAAGGGCAGCCTCATTTACCTGTCCAAACTAGCAATCTAAAGCTGGCCAGAATCCTTTTGCAGGATCATTTGTTCTATTTGAAAAGGAGGTTATCAGCAACTTTCAGGGAGCAGATGAATTCTAAAAACTTGAGGGAGACTACCATGAAAGCTTTCTCCTTTTAAAGCTGTATTGGCTGGATGCTCTTAGCAACCTAGTGGTGGCCCATCATAATTTGGGACACAATGCCCCCAGGGGGATAATGTAATATCATGTGGTAGCATTATTCCCACAGGCATTCTTGCAGGGGGAGAGATGGCCACCCCATCAGCCAAGTCGCTTTCACTCTGCTCTTACGTTTCATCAACTTTGCTTTGTTAAGTCTTCAGTCCAACAGATAATTAAGGCAGCATGCTGCGGCTAACACCTTGGTGTTGAATCCCAACGAGTGAAAATTCATGGTGACACCATTTCACTGGGGGTTGGGGAGGCTGGTTCCCAGTAAGAGCAACTTATTTGCGATGTCCCCCACCAAACCTGCCTCCTTTGTCATACTCGATATCTTATGTTCTGTTATCTTTTCTTCAGAATCAGCACTTTCACTGGAAGCTTTCATGTGGCAAAGGACCAGGGACCCCTCTATGAATGGGTAACATGAAATACAAAGAGGAGGTGATTTGCCTGGTGTAACACAACATGTGGCGGCAAAAGTGAATTTAGACTTCATGGAGCCTGGAATTGTTCGGAAACATTAGAACAAGGTATGTTTCATAAGAGATAGCCAACAAAGCAGCCAGGAATTAAGAGCAGCCCCAAAAGAGGCAAACTGCTAAGGGAAGCTCAGTGATGCTTAAAGGTTAGAACTTCTGCTGCTTCTCCAGTTGGTTTGCCCTTATGTTTGGTAGGTGGGCAAGGGGTGTTCTTTCCTATGGGGATCCTATTGCAGAAAGATGCAGCACTAGAGAAAGGGGTGAGCAGCATGGAAGGGGCTAAGTATCAGGCAATAACACTTTGTCGCACATCCCAAGAAGCCTCAGTGATGAGCACCTTCATCCTTCACACTGGGTGACTGAAGAGCCATGAAGATAATCCTTTTGTCCTCTTAAAATAAGGAGAGAGAGATAACAGAGACCGGGAGCTGTGGTCTTCCTACAGGGATGGTGGAGACAAAGATCTTCAAGAGCTTCAGTAAGGAGCAGGTCAACAGTCACTGACACCTAGAGAACCCTGCTTTAGTTGTGTTTGTATATGTTTTTGCTTGTAGCATGGCTTGCCTCTTGCGTACCTACCATTCAGGGATATGCTGGCATCCCGTAGCTGTCTTGCTGTACCAACAGATCACAACAAACCATCAGCCCTCAATCACAACATCTCAGGCTTGTGTCCTAGCAGGGCTCTGGATCACAACAGGAAACTACAGAGTTTTCCAGCTCCCGTCCCTCCTTCTGGTCTCTCTCTCCCTCAGACTGTTGCTATCTGCTTCTAAAACTCTCAAGCTTCTGCTTGCAGTGGGAGGACACTGGCCAGTGCAGGAATGAGGTGGGCATAGATGTCAATCCCACGAAGGAAGACCTGTTCATTTAGGAACTCATTGTGGTCGTGCAGCAGTACAGGTGTATGGTTCATGGGGGAGAAGCCAATCGCTGGATGACCTGCCTGTAACACAGGGGAAGGAGAAGAAACTATCAGGCAGGAGAAGTAATTCTCAGGTAGCAATACTGCAGCAAAGCAGAAGAATCAAAGGGCTTCTCTACACAAAGCATTTATTTTGCACTCATGATCCCTCACTCATGGAAGTCTGCAGGGCCTTTTCATGCCGCTGTTGTCCTCTACAGCTTTTCCTGAGCTTTCCAGCTTTTTTGTGGTAGCTTTTTGAGTGAAAAAGTCTGGTATTGAATTTTACATTGCAACAAACTGGATCCCAAGTATTACTGCAGGTCTGCTATAGTGAGAGTACAGCACATTGCAATCACAAAACAAAGAAAAAAATGTCAGGGCAAAACACTGTGTAAAGGATGCACTTTTCATTCCACAAAACAGACCAGACCAAACCAGAGTAGAACATTCAGTGACTACTGGCAAGGTACATACAATACACTGATACTCACTGCTCTGATATAGCGGCTATCTGTGGCAGCAGGGAAGATCTCGCACTTCAGCTTCATGTTCCTGACAAGAGAGAGAAAGGTGCACATGCACACAATGACTATGGAGATCCTACTGCTAAGTTATCCTATTCTTTCTCCTGCCACTGAGCTCCAAATCATTTGGAGCAGAATTCAACTTTTAAAGAAGGGCAGAGGGTGCCTTGGCTGATACAAAAAAGGACACAATGGAAAGGTAGAAGAGTTTGGGCCCACTCTTCTATCCTGTATACAGAATGTTTTTTTGGCGGGGGCGGGTGGCTTTTCCTGAATGCTGTGAATGTCAGCTTCTCTCAAAACAATGTGTTTATAGTTCTCTCTGTGTCTGGCAGGTGGGACAGTCACCAGCCCCAACAGGGGTCTAAACAAAGAAGTGAGTTTAAGAATGGCATCTTACTCACATGTCCCTGCAGGTGCCACTGAACGCTTTCCACCAAGGGTCAGATTCCTCTGTGGAGGTCACCGACTGATCCATGTATTTCTAGCCCAAAGAAAAGGGTAGAGGGTGAAACTGGGAGGAGGCAAGAGGGCACCCACAGTGGAGGGATCTGTGGCAAGGGCTCAGCAAAAGCAGCAGCAAGAGTGCAAGAGGTTGAAGGATATAAGGCAGGACAGAAGGGTAGCCACACTGAGACAAAAGGCCCATGGACCAGGGCCAGGAGAGAGATACAGTGGCAGCAGCGTGGAAGGCAAGACAGGCAAAAGCCAGGAACTGAGCTATGCTCCTAGATCTAAGGGGAAGCAACAAGCTGCTGGAATGCTCCCTCATGTCTGTAGTTACCTGGTGGAATTCATAGGTAACACCTTCCCCAGCTGCCCGGCACCAGGCTGTGAGCTGTTCCTCAAATGCCTACAACACAGAAACAAACCAACATATAAAATACAGACTCTCCAAAATTATTCTTAGCCATAAATTCTATTCTCTGTGTACTTTGCAGTCCTGCAATGATTCCATCCAAGAAGCCTTTGCATTCCTTCCTGCCGTGTTTAACTAGTCCTTCACCCAAAACCATAGCAGTCAGATGCCTTGTAAGCAGTAACTTTAGGTTTAACATTCGGTTCCAGTTTCCATACTGCCTTAAATCTGTTCTAGGACTCTTAGTGTTTCCCTTAGCTATCCTCTATCTGTCTCTGGAAGAGACATGCCTTGTTCCTTTAAATGGGAAAATTCTCCAGGCTCCTCCAGGCTTAATGTGAAAGAAAAAAAACCCAGTCTTCTAATACTCCCAGTCAGTGGTGTAGTGGAACCAGGGCTTGCAGGATGCCCTGCTTTATTAGTAGGGTTGTTGACATTATTTATCATCTCCATGAGACATCTGTGCTCTCTCTAAAATTAACTGCGATCCTCACAATAGCTTTCCCCAGCAATAACATACTGTTCCCTGTTATAAAGTATTTTGGGGTGACTTGGGCAATTAAGACTCAACATCCTGATAAAAGACCTGCTAGAATTGGTTTGTGAGATGGGTCAACAAAACTGCCAGCATTTTTGGCCTCTCCTAGGGCTATGGAGACTGTCCGTAGCCTGTATGGAGACTGAAATTTAACACTACACCACTGCTCCCAGTCATAGCCAAGAAGGGTTGCAAGGCATCCTCATACTACCAGTTGTAAATAATGCAAGGAGACATTGTTTTAAGCAACGTGGGATGCTTCGACCAATGTAAATTTAAGAAATGGGAAGAACCATTACACACTCCATGTAGCTCCTGGATATTCTGGAAATTGGCTCACTGGCTAAATATTGGCCATCATTCCCTTTTCTTGTCCTTTCAGCAGCTGGATTCTGTACCTTTAAATCCACTGTAGGTGGGATGCGGATGTCAAAGGCAGCAGACATCTCAGAAGGGACCACATTGAAGGAGATTCCCCCATTCAACATGGTCAGGTTGAGAGAGGTTACATCACCTAAAGTAAGGTGCTTCTCTGATTTTAACCTGTGGAGAAAGAAAGGAGCACAGAGTTTTTCATCCCACCTCTTTGAAAATATGGATTAAACTTCTTCCTAATCCCAGAGCATGGAGAAAGAGCATACATCAGTCTTCCAAACATATCTAACAATCATACGTGTATGCAGGTCAGGGCATCTAATGCGTCCATCCATGCAAAGCAGAGAACAGAAGACACCTCTCTCAAACCACATCTTGCTGCTGGGCTTGGGCACACACACTCTGGAACTCTGTTTGTCCGAAGCATGGATGCCACTAGAGCATTCTTGCCCTTGCCTATACAGAACAGCTGCACATGGACCTGCATCCCAGATGCATTGCTCAAAGAAGTGGGGCTGTAACATGCCAAGCCAATCATAAGTAGTACCAGAACTGGTCCTAAGACAGAACTCAGCCTTAGTTCTGGGCTCAAACTAAAAACTGAAAGCCCTTGAACACATTTATTTATTTATTTAGAATATTTATATCCCATCCTATATGCATAATAGCCTAAGGATGGCTTACAGGAACCAAAACAAACAATAAACAAAACAGCAATTAACAACAATTAACAATGTGCGTGATACCAACAGAAACACATTACCAACAAGAACAAAGTCAAAATCAAAATCAAAATGCAACTGTGAGTATTAAAAGCCAATTAAAATTCCTAACATTTAAAATAGTGGGCAAATAAAAAGGTTTTCACCTGGCGCCAAAAGGAATATAAAGTCAGTGCCAGGTGAACCTCTCTAGGGAGGGCATTCCAGAGTCTAATTTCTAGGGCCACCAACTAAGGTTATGGCAGGGCTGTGATCTGGATCAAGTTGGCGCAACTGAAGCCAAGTTCAATGTGTAGGTCATTGTTCACCCTCTTAGGATGCAAATCCTATGCATGTTTACACAGAAAAAACTTCCTACAAAGCCCAGAGTCCCTCTAATCAGCCATACCAGCTGGGGCATGCTAAGATTTTAAGGCCTTTTTCTGTCTAAACATGTGTAAGACGGTGCCCTTAATTGCTACAGGAACACAGTGAACTAAGGGAGATGCTTGGGCCAGTGTCCCATAGGCTGTTAAAGAAACCCCAGGAAGGAAAGGCCAAACTCCAACAAACCTGCTTTTAGTGACATGTCCATTTGTGCTTAAAGAATGGGAAAGGAAAAGAATGAGTTATTTCATGTGTCTGCCTATGAAAGAGCAAAGCACAAACATTCTGTTCATTTATGAGATACCAAAGTACTTTTCTCTTGTTGCATCTCTGCAAACAAACAATACCTGTCAAGGGATTAGTAACTGGAACAAAGCAACAGTGGAGATCAAGAATAGCCCTTTCCCAACCTGGTCAGCCTTCTCGAAGGAACTTTTCCTCACCTTTGCTTTTCACGTTCTCGGAACTCCAGGAAGGAAGTGATCACCCTGTGCTACGGAAAGGGAATTCTAAAAGTCAACATGCTGAAATTTGAATGCATGAAATTTGAATGCATGAGTCACGAAGATATTTGCCAACTGCTGAATGACCAATATAAAAAGAATCTGCTTGTCCTCACAGCCACTGAATGTGAAACCCCCTTCCACTGACACTCTCTGCTGGTGAAGATGGGGCATATTTGCTTCAGCAAATCTAGACAGAAGGTTATGGAAAGGGTCTAGACCATGAATAACAAGCTGTCACTCTCCAAAAGCTATAGGAGTACAACTTCCATCATGGCTGACTATTGGCCCTGCTGTGGCTGATGGGACCTGGAAGGGGCAGAACTGCTCACCTCTGATCTAGACCATACATTACAGCAGCACTCTGGCCGAAGCAATGAGACAGCGACATCCATGCAGGCAGCTGAAGGGCTTGCTGTTAGATCTAAGCAGATGGTCTCCCCAGCTGCCATATATGAGCAGCCTCACTCCCCCGCCCCCCACCTTACCACTGATCCTTACAGAAGGCACTCTCTTACCATCTTTTCAGCAGCGGTGTTTTCAATGAATCTAGATCCATGTCCTGGATTCCCTTCTACCTTCACTTTTATCCCTGCAAGCATTGGGTGGAAACAGAAAACATGAAAGACAGGCCAGCAAAGCTTTTTCCCACCTATGTTTCCTCACCTTGATACGCAAGTACCACACCAGAGCACGACTTCAATCACAACTGTTTTAGGAGGCGTCTCATGATCCAAAGAACAAGTACGCATTTGGAAGGGCAAGTCAGATACAGCTGCTGAAGTGCAGTTCCATTCTGCTGTGGAGTTGCTACTGCCGGGGAAGGCTGCTGCTTCCAAATCTGAACAGCAGGCTTATGTGTTCAGCAGTGAGAGCTCTTCCAGCAGAAGCATCCACAAATCTCACATTGCACACAAGTTATTTTGCTCATGCTGAATCGTATAATAGCATATAAACCATAAGACAATGCTAAAAACAACAACAAGCTAATTAATTGTTGACAGCTTGTCAATAAAGTATAAACGCACTGATAAAAAGAGCTGGTGAGATAAAATGGTGAACTGACAAGATTCAAAGCTGGTGCGGGGAGGGGGAGAACTTACCAGCCTTCAAATTTCTCCGAGAACTTTATTAAATCTACCTTTCAATAAGGCAGGAAGAAGAGCATCCAGGCTAGGACAGAGAGACTTGGGCCTAAACTATTGGGAGGCTAGTAATCATTGCACAGGACCAAAGTAATAAATGAACACCAAAGAGCAGCCTTGGGGATAGTAGTTTGGACCAAACAAGGTTTTCAGACACCGCTGAAGAAGAGTTGTAATATATTCAGCCCATGAAGGACTGTGGTCTAGTTTGTCTTCTTCAGGAAAGGACATCACTGGTGTATCTAGTTAAAAGCACACCTTGTCAATATTACTGCACGAACATCCCAAAACAGTGAGAGATCAAGAAGCATCCCCAATTATGAACTTTCATTACCCCCTGACAATGGTTTAGAGTTTCCACTGCCTCCAAGGATTTGAGAAATGTTGACTTTCACCAAATCTGAGATAACCAGAGAAAGATATGTGAATACTCCATCAATTATGAGCCTTTACTAAAAATGTCAAGGTATAAAATTCCTCAAACAAGAGGGGATTGTCTAAAATTTCACATCCATTCCAACAATGTAATTGTGGCTACTAATCCACATATTATAAGCTGCAGAGAAAATGAACAAATGGCTGTTGCTAAGAATTATGTAATTCCCAACTAATTCCAACAAGAGACTGGTTTCATCATCCATTCTGGCTCCTTCAAGAAGCCGCACAAGCTAAGAGAAAGGTTATGCATGCATCTGTTTCACAGTGAAGATGTACATACAGCAAAACTTCCAAACTGTTCAGAAGAATCTGTGCCTTTCTTGGGAAAGAAACATGCAAACATCATGCTTGCCCTGAATTTTCAGTACAGATCTTTCTTAAGCAGGTCTTTATAAAATAAGATCAAAAGCAACTAAAAGACACCCCAAATAAAGAAGAAAGAGATGAAATTCCAAATCTTACTTACACCACGGACATTTCTCGCCATAGAATACAGTGAATGTGTCTGTTGGATTTGCCAGACCTGGAGGGAGACAGAGAGTGGCAGTGGCAAAGAGTAAATTAAAAGACACAGTGGGCTTTCTGCAGCACCTTTTGACAAGGACATCAGCTAAGGCACTGAGCTAGACTCCTAAGCATTCATTAACTTCATGCAGGTGAGGTTTAATTAACTTTGTGCCAGTGAAAGGATCTTCATCAAGACTACACAGTTGGTGCTTCCTTCTTAGGTTGCAAACTTGTGACCGAGGAGGATCTTTCTTTCAGTTATGCAATGGTAAGCAATGACAAAGACATCCACATAATTGCTAATGACAGCTTTAATGGGAAGAAAAGTAGAAACAGGCTGGCTCTATTACACAGTCCAAGCCAAAGATGGCTTCTTCAGTATCATGCCAATCAATTCTCACCTTCATCCAAAGCAAAGCCAACATTAAGTGTGGCAAACTCAGGTCTCTTCACAAACATTTCCATCCCCTTGTGGCCCCCAATCTCTTCATCTGCACAAGAAGAAAAAGAAGGGGGGCAATATGTAAATGATCAAGTAATCACCTTTGCTTTGTTCTTCAGATCAGCCAAATCTATGCATTCCCGAATAGAAGAGCCAAGAGCCTGCTGCAACACAGACTACCCCACAGGAACCTAGAAAGCTTTAGTCCATGGGAATCCAGCCCATAATGGTGACCCAGCGTGGCCCAGGCACAACCCATGGAGGAAAAGCATTTACTCTTCCTTCAAGAGACATTCATCAGTCTTTCCATAAATGAGCCCTGACAGCTGAAATGCAGAAACAGTTTTCTGTTGTTAAGCTTATCTGGTCAAAGGACAAGGAAACCACTGCCAAGAACAGTACTGAAAAGGCCACAGGGACAGCCAGTATCAGTACTTTTCTTTACTTGGGCTGCAACAGAGGGACACATTAGATGCACTGTAGAAGAACTATGATAAGCTCCCTATCATGTCTTATCTTTCACTCTTACCTTATTCTTGCATGAGTTAAATCCTGCCAACAGCTGCAATGAGCTGGGGGAGGGGAAGGGGAAGGGGGAGAGTGATACCTATATTGTACCTGACTTTCAACCCCTGTGCAGTTCATAGTAACAGCTTGTGGGTCAGGGCAATTTAATTCAGGGAAATGAATACAAGAGAAAAGGATTAACCCACTTCCCCAAGTGTCACAGCCTGGTCCAGACTGGGAGACAGAGCAGCTACTTTTAATCATAGAAAATGTAACTGGTATTGCTGAATGCAGAACTCTTTTGTGTACATGCATCCTCGACATGGGCTCTTTAGTGTTCCAAGGGCAAAACTGCAGCAGGGGTGGTGAAGAATTCCAGGTCCTGCAAAGACTGCCTCTTTTAAGCTGGCGCTCCAGAGGCATGCTGTGGGCACTGTGGCCAGGCACTAAATTTGAAGCTATAGCGATTCTATAGCATCCCTTGATGGCTCGGGGACTTTGGAGCAGCTTTTATGAAGCTGGTTATTGAGAGCAGACAGTAAGAATTTGTATGGGAAGCATTACATTTAATAGGGTTGGATGGATTTACCTGGTGCAATTTACAGCTGAAGGGGGATGGTGAAGGACTGTTAGCAGCTAGTGCTGCTGCTGCCTTTTCCAGTGGACCTCTGGCATTTTCCCTACTGCAAAGAGTTCTAAAACAGCTGCATCAGCCATGTGAAGGGTTCTGGAACAGCTGTTTGGATTTCTATATATTTTCTCTTTTAAAAAAATATTCTGGGGAAGGTGACAACTGCCCCTTTTAAAATTTGGATGAAACGAAAGAGATAATTAGGGAAAGAGCAGAATATATTAGGGGGTAAGAACAATGAATAAATGGAGAAGAAATAAAGAATTGTTTAAAATCACAATAAGTATGTTTTACCATAATATTAATTTTTTCTAGCACTTATTTTGCCTCTTTTATCTCCTGCCCATCCCTCATACCCTCATGTTGTTAAACTCGTTAAAATGAGCATCCCTTTTGGACAGCAATGCATTCTGTTGGCAAGAAGAAAGAAATCGCTTGCCACTCAAACCAATGCAGAGAAATGTAGCAGATCCATGCTGAAAAGATACAAGTACTTTGCTAGCTTCTTCATGTATCTTTGGGGAACTCAGATTGCAGGTAATTTTGCCTGTGGCAGGAGTAACCCCCCACTCGAAAACAAAGAGAGTGGACCACCCTGTCTCTTGCTCTGATCACTTTGAGCAACGGTACTCACCTGGAACAAAGCTCATATGAATTGTTCGTGGAAAGTGTCTCCCTTCGGCTTTCAGTCTCCGGATAGCCTCTATGTACCTAATGGGAAGAGCCCTTATTTAGTGGCTGAGGGGACCCAGAGATATTTGACCTACCCTTGATCAGAATTGTAAACAGAGGAAGGAAGGGTTAAAACAGACGAACAATCACAGTTGAGATACTTCATTTAAAGACAAGTGATGTGGCAGTGATGCAAAGGAGTCACGGCTGCCTGAATCAAGATTCCCCCACCCCCTCGAGATTTGCCTTGCAGGGCAGAGCAGAAGTAAGCTGATCACAGTAACAGTAAATTGGTGAAACATATTTTCCTTATTTGCGGGCTCTAATGCACTGTTCTGCCAGTTACTACATGTACCTATTCCAGTTTACCTTTGGGGCACCAGACCCATCACCATTTAATGCAAGGCACAAGAACTTGAACATGGTGGGTGACTGGGTTTAACTTATCCACTGATGTCTATCAGTGCGAGGGGTTCACACGGACATAACTTTAGTGGGAACATTGCAAACCGGGATAGGATGGAATAACCCCCTCAGCCATCCCTCTGCTCCTCCATCGTTCTCCAAGACAAAATTGGCAAGCAGCTCATTCTATGAACCCCTGCATAGTTACATAGTACAGTATGCAAGTGAAGGGGCAAGTGGCAGGCTTACTGGATAGAGACACATTTCATATCTTGGGCTCCACGTGCATAGATGTTTCCCTCAGCGTCCTTGAAGGCTGAAAAGGGATCATGGTCCCAGTATTCCTGTAGGGAGAAAAGCAATACAGAACATCTCAGAAAGATGGGCATGGAGGAGAACACAAGGCTGTACACGTGGGTATCTTGGCTAATGGAGCAAAAGAAAAGCCAGCAGGTCTTGCATGGAGCTCTCTGGAGCAAATGGATCCTTTAAAATTGACAAGTTGAGAAGTATTTTTGTTGGATCACTGAAGAGCTAACTGTGTCACATCTTGCCCAGAAAGACAAATGTTATGATCCACATCCCATGATGCCAAATCACTTCAGTAACAAAGGCAAGCAGATGCCTTTCCTCTCTGCCATTCAGGACAACTGGAGCCACTTAAGACTCCTGCATGACATACAGAGTCAGTCCGTGTGAAACAGATTTTAGGAACACAGAAAGCTACTTTATACCAAATCAGGCCCATCCCGAGTTTCAGTCCATGGTCCTTTTTAGTCCTACCTCAAGATGCCCAGGATCAAACCTGAGACTTCATGCTAGGTACCTCAGGGGCTCAGGTCCACAGGCTGAAAAAAGCACAGATTTGCACCCACTGACCTGCATTTGCTCTAAAGTTTCTGTGTGCGTGTCCCTGGCTCCTAAGGACACTACTATCTGTACAAAAGGGGGGATGTATGTTCTGCCCTCAAGCAGAAAGATTCAGCAGGATGTGAAGCACACATGGGCAAGAGAGACAACTAATCCAGGGAAATCAGGTGCAACAGTGTTAACCTGGCCCCCTGTACCTACCATCCTCTAACACCATCACTGCTTCTTGGATATGGAGTATGTACTCTACCACTAAGCCATGGTCCTCCTCTGATCCTCTCAGCTCAACTTCAAGTAAGCAAACTTCTGTAGGAAAATCACCTGGCACACACAGCCAGCTGAGAAAGCCAGTAAGGAAATTCTCGTTGCTATTCATAGAGATCCCAGAGGTTAGGAGTGTCAGGTAATAATGCAGGAATAAAGAATGCTGATCAGATCAATCCTTGGGGAATGATTATGATCCAAGTTGTGCTGTATGGTTTTTTAGTGTTTTCAATTCTTGAAACTGTCACTATTAAAGAAACCAAAGGCTTGTATTCTTGCTACATGGCTCATACAAATCTGAAGTGTAGGGCCTCCCTTGAGTTGAAATTATAGTATTCACTAAAAGTATTCTCCATCTCATTCCTCATCTATTTCATTCTAAGAGTGTGTGAGTTCTATTGTATGTGCTACTAACATCATCCAAGCTATGGATGGTATATGCAAGAAAATAAACTACACCTTCATAAGCACATTAATCCACATCATCTGCTGATTCACAGCATGCCCCTTTCTCTTCTGGAGCATTATTTATGGGTTATAAGGTATTCAAGGGAAGAACACCTTTGTACCACCCACACCTTTCCCCAGAAGCCACATCACAGGCAGCAACAAGGCTGAAGACCTGAATCTCCAACATGCTCCAACATTTTATTTAAATAAAAAATTTCAACCTAAAAAAAAAAAAAAAATTCAACCTAACCTCAAACACTGGCACAACATCTGTATGGGAATTCAGCAAGATGGAGCGGAGCTGTGGGTTTGTGCCTTTCCAGGTCAGAATAGTGATCACACGGCCAGGGCAGACCTGCAACAAAAGAAAATAAAGTCAGCCGGGAGCCGCTCTTCCTGTCTTTGGAGACGAAGGGACAGAAAGCTCTGTCAGGGACTCCCGTGCCCGGAAGAATCTCTCTCTGCAAGAATCCTCCTTTGTATTGTTATGGAGGAGCTCAGCCATGATGATTTTTATATATTTTTTTTCTAGCATCCCCCTAACAAAGCCTTCCTCAATATGGTGTCCTCCAGATGTTTTGGACTGTACCCCCCACCATCCTTGACCATTGGCCATGCTGGTGAGGTGATGGAAATTGCAATCCTAAACATCTAAAGGAGGACTCCAGATTGTGGAAGGCTACTGTAGCACTTAGTTTAATATGTTTTGCTGTCCTGGAAGGCTGCACAGAGCAGTCAGGAGCAAAAGGATCCGGATATTAACATGCGAACCACAAGCACCCAATAGATCTGAAGTTCATCACCTGGGTGTCCTCTAACAGGATTACTGAACTAACAGGATTGCCCTCCTGTGAGGATGTAATGCCTGGGAATTCCAGACACCTTCTGAATAATGGTTATATTTTATGTGAAAGCTTATTAAAATAAGAGGCCTCCTAGGCTTTCAGAGAACAAAATACAACAAACTGGCCAGGCAATTATGAAAGTCTAATATGAGTCAAAGAAGAAGAAAAATATAATTCCCTTTTACATAAGCCCACCAATGGATGGTATAATGGTTGAATGTTGGTTCAGTCCCATTAACAACCATCTGTAAGCAGCCTGCAAGTGTGAAGACAAGAGGGTTACCATACTGCCTTTTTTACTACTAAGTTAAATGTTAAATTTGATGTAGCAATCAAAGTTTCAAAAAAATCGAAGTGAACTTGGTTGTTCAGGAGTATTTAGAGAAAAAATAGATTGCAGTCTAACCTGAAAACTGACCTGAGAAGTACCGTATTTTTCCATCTATAAGACACCCCCATGTATAGGATGCCCCCCACTTTTCCTACTGATCTCCAGTGAGCAAGTTGCTGCTGCAGCACATGGGCCACCTCCCCACCTGCACGCGCCGCCTCGCCGCCCCCCAGGCACACGCGCGATCGCGCCAGTCTCTCCCCCCCGCCCCCGAGTGCGTCTGCGGTTCTCCTCTTGGCTCCCTTTGTATAAGACGCACCTCCATTTTTAGGTAAATGTTTTTAAGAAAAAGTAGCATCTTATACTTGGAAAAATACAGTATTAATCAAAAGACTGCTAGTTGTGTGTAGGTTTGGAATGCAGTTTTACCTGTCTAGCTAACTATACAGGCACTCCTATATTCTGACTGTTACGATGGTATCAGTGCTACTGGATTCCTTTCGTAAGTATTCACATAACCATGCTCCACCACAGCCTTTTGCAAAAGGAGCACAGGCTGTAAGGTGTGGGAAAATGTCAATATGAGCAAATATGCTGACAAACCACCAGAAGCAAGCCAGTGGCTCTACTGACTGGTGCTTCACAGCTGGCTTTAATTACTAGTGTTCTTATACCTTGGGTGATGTTAATTTGAGCAGGACAGGTGAGATTATCACTTTCACCAACCAATGCTGGCTGACTGTACATGACTGATATCAAAGAATGCCAAAGGCACTTACTCCCTCATTACTGCTAATGAGTGATTAACTGCATTTCAGCCCCTAATCTATGTAGCAGTTTCTTCTGGAAAAATGTTAACCCAAATTTCTGACTGAAAGGGAATGATGTTGGGCTATGAATTTAAAGCAGCAATTCCTAACTCTGGAATCCAAAGCTGTGCTCTAGGTCTCACTGATGACTAACAGGACTCTTCCAAAGGCTTTGCCAACGTGACTCCAATGTTACTCAGCAGATGACAGTAAAATGAACACAGACATAGAAGGCAGAGAAACATCCCTTCTCAGGGCTGCAGAATGAACAGAATGAAACAGAATATTGATGATTGCTGTGATACCCAATTTGATAATATGATGGTGAAATTAAAGCTCTTTGCTTTCCCTGGAAGCCAACAATCAGTATTTTAACACAAAGTCGCCAGTAGCACAAAATTAAAGATATATTTCTTGAATCATAAGCCCTAGAGAGACCATGCAACAACAAATCAGCCATGGTTAATCATACATCCTGGCAGAACTCAGGGAGGCAAGAATTTCTCATTACTTACCTCTACTTTCTGACACTGTAGGCTAAGCTCAGAAGCTATTCTCTCCAGGAATTTTATTGCTGTGTCTGGAAGAAAGGAGGAAATGACCACAAAGATCACAAATGTCAACATGTTCCCTTTTCATTTCAGCTTTCGATTAATAACATATAGCCTTTATAAGACAATCCCCATTGTGTCCTGAGAGCAGCAGAACATTGTTCCAGTGGTGGGCTACCAATGGAGATGAAACGCTGCATAAGGTTGAAGACGACATTATTTCAGGGAACACATCTTGCTTGCATGCTCTGCCTCTCCAACATGTATTAAAACTCCCTTGCTCAACTTCACTCATTTATATCCAGTATTTGCCCTTCTTGATATATTTTTTAAGCATTTTTAATGAAAGCTGTGGGGAGGTGGGAACACAACAACATGCCTAATGCCACTGAGTTAGCACTGAGCCAAACATGGGTACCGAGGTCTATCTATCACCTTGTCCACTGGCCCATAGACTTTGTCACCATACTTGTCTAAGAGTGAGCATCCTAATTTCTCTGATACATGCCATCCAAATTATATACAATCTTTCATTAAAGCAGAGGGAAAGGTATAAAAACCTACAATTTTATGAACTACAAAGTTCATAAAATCATGAGATCTTAAGTTATTACTCCGGGTTTACGAAAGCTCCACATCAGGTCATCAGTGGCAAGTCCCCTTCCCTGCGCAGAAGTCAGAGTTGCTGAGGCAGGGGAGAGGCCAGTCCCTTACTTCAGATCGGTTTTACAACAGAGGGCACAGGCATTGAAAAAGGGTGTGTGCACCATTTCTTTTCTTCTCTGTAGTCCAGCATGAAGTGAGAGGAAGGTCCCTGTCCATGTCTTCTGCCTTCTACCTGACCGTTGTTTGATAGCTGCATGGAATTAACTGTGAGCATTAGTTCAACATATGCATTTATTTTTGAAAACTTTTCAACGTAAGAACAGAAGGCGACCCAGACTGAATTAGGCCAAGGTCCATCTAGTTGAGCATTCTGTTCACACAGCGGTTGTCAGCCGTCTATGGAAAACTCACAAGCAGGACAGGAGTGCATCAGCAGCCCCCTCCCTGCCATGCATTTGCCTAATCCCTTTTAAAAGCCATCCAAATTGGCAGCCAGCACTACTGTCTTGTGGGAGCAACTTTCTTAGTTTAACTGTGTGTTGTGTGAAGAAGTAGTCTGTCCTGAATCTCCCACCAATCTGCTTCATGGGATCACCCTAGGACCATACAGAAACTATGTTTAAAACTTTTTGAGTTTTAAAAATCTTTTGCTTGAAAGATCCTCAAAATGATAATTTTCTGGAATTCAACATTTGTATTGGGCATCAGGATGTTTGAGAAACACAGCTTTTTCAAAAGTGGTATAAAATCCAGTTTCTAATGCTCAAGATTATGAACAAATATGCACTATCTATAGGGCACACTAGACATGAGAGGGCTTTAACAATCTGCTATTCTGGTGAGTGAGGCTGCTGCTATTTTCATTTTATGGGGGGAAACTGGGGTTGAAACAGAGCAACTTGTCTGATGCCATTCACATGAGTGTATAGTTGAAGTGCAACCTGAACTCTTACTTCCTATAACCATCACTGGCAGTCCCTCCATTAGATCAGAGGAAATGTTTCATGATGTGCAGGAGTTGCCTTAGAGAATTCTGATTTGGGAAGAAGTGGCATAGGTAGGCAAACCTCTGGCCCTTGCATGAGTCAATGAATTATTTGCAGTTTTTTTATAATGTTCTCCAACTCACATGAAAAGGTCTACTAACCCTAAATTTTCCTAATCTCACACTATCACACAACTCCTTCCTGGTGCAGATAAGCAATATGTAGATCAGGGCACTATAACTTCTATCCTTCCTAGCCAGCATGGTAAATAGTGAGGGATCATGGAAGCTGTAGGCCAAAATATCCTGAGGGCCAGAAGTTGATCAAGGTGCTTAGCTGTGCCTTGGAGGACATCATATAGGATATCTGTCTCCCTGTTTCTTGCTCCACACATGCCAGAACAAGAAAATCCATACATAAATCCATATTGGCAAGCTATCCTTGACCATTCTGAGGCATTATTTCTTCAGGACCATTGCAATGTGAAACAGAAAATATTTCATATGCTTTCAGATTAGAGAATTCTTCTCAGAAGCCTAGCAGGAATACTGTGCGCCCACAGCTACCCAAAGTGTGAAGTAGCAAGTTATTTTTTTATTGAGGAAACATTTAACTACTTTTTGGACTATGCACTGAGTCCACATTCCAGAGTTTTCTTCAGTCATGTAATCTACACCCATTCCCCCCATTTTCCTGAAGCATTAATGAGTGACAGATTAAGGCAGCAACAGTAAACCTGTGTTCATTGGGCACTCAAGTAAGTTAAACTGCAAGAGTGATGTTTGTTTGTTTGTAGTATAGGATGGCTGCCATCCACTTAGCTCATGCAGGCATTGAGCTGAAGCCATGTGAACCTCCTCCTTCAATGGACTCCACATTACGTTGGCATGTGTACCCCTGCCAAATGTCCTTTGGTCCCAGTTCTCAAATCGTTTAACCTGAAGTTGATAACTGAGGTCAGTGTGACTGCTCTAGAATATACAGCTTGAAAACTTCTGCCTGGTTTGGCTGATGCATTTAAGTAGCATAGCATTGCACTTTCTGAACCAATCAAAATTTATTTGAGATGCGAGATGTTGTATTTCAATTGAAAAGAAATCACTTGAGGGTGTATTCACCCATCCATCCATGAGATGGTGGCCATAGCAAAGTGCTTGAGAAGCCTCATTGTTGTGTCCTCAGCCATATGCACTTGCCATCATGCACAGAAGTCATGATTTAGCATTCACTAACTGGGTTTGTACAGCATAGCAATCCACTACCGTTAACTAACCATGGTTTGTTGGTGTCTCATGCAAACCCAGACTGCTTTCTCCAGGTTGGATGATTTGGTGGCAGCAAGCCACCCCAACAACCCTTGGCTTGTTCTTAAGAGCTTCTGAACCCAAGATGGGTTGGTGTATTCTTCAAGCATGACATACTGGTCCCATTGTGGGTCCAAGGAAAGGGCAAGCAAGCCACTCAGCAAACCCCTTGCTGCTTTTACCAAGCTTGCCCAGGCCACCACAAGTGATAGCCACTCCATTAAATGCCTAAATGGAGTTCTACTGCCTCGCCCTGCCCTGCCCTGCTTCTGATCTCTTTTTTAGTCATTTTTTTTGGCCGCACGGAGAGACGGACTGCTCATCCCCACCGCCCGGGAAGACCTGCCGCCGCCGCCGCTGTGCCGCCCGGAAGACCACCACCGGCATGCTGCCGGCCCGGCTACACCACACCTGGCCGGCACGCACTCGGCGCACCCTCCTCTGCCCCCTGCTCCAGCGCAGGTGAGAGCTGTGCTGCTCAGGGGGAGCGATGCGGAGGAGGAGGAGCCGTGGGCTTCAACCCGCCGGCCGCATGGAGAGATGGACTGCTCATCCCCACCACCCGGAAGACCACCGCCAGCACGCTGCCGGCCCGGCTGCACCACACCTGGCCGCCAGCCCCTCTCCACCAGCGCAGGTGAGAGCTGTTAATCACAGGTCGGTGTGTGTTTTCAAATGGCAACCCGTCTTTTAATGAAGCCCATGGGGAAGTGACGGGGAATGTGCCTGTGATTATCAGGAAGCTTTCCATGGATCCCTCCTCTAAAAACTAGGTGCGTCGTGCGTCTTATAGAGCGAAAAATATGGTACTTTGCTTTCACTTGAAAGCTGTTAAATGGTGAGTTGTCAAGTGAAAACAAAGCTTGTGAAGCTCTTTGCTTGTGAAAGAGAGTGATGAATCACCCTTTGCAGCAAGATGCACTGTGGATAACCCTGATATTTCTCAGCATGGTCCACCTTTTCCGCCCTTTCTTGAGCCTCAAGGTGCTTAGGAAAGTGAAAGGTGTGGTGCACCCAATTTAGGAGAGCACTTCATTCTGACACCTGTGAAAAGTAAAGGTTTTTTTTAAAAAACAGAGTTTCTGACAGGACTAAACATGTGTTTTTTATAGGGATAGATGCAGCTATGAAAACGGTTTATGCCCCTATCAAAACCCTGTTTTAAAGCAGCCCTTACTTTTCTACAGTGCTCCAATAAATAGGATAGAACTTTGCTACTTTCCTGATCACCTAGAGGCCTGGGAAAGGGTGGACAAGGCGGAAGACACTGAGAACTATTAGCTACGGATTTAAAACCCAGAGGATCTTGCTGTAACAGGAATAAAGTAGGAACTACTCCCTTCTGTAAGCAAAGAGCTTGTTTGGTATACATTTGCATCCGGTTTGCAAAAGAAGCAGAAGAATTTAAGTGTTTCATGAAAAACTGAGGGAAAGTCTTGATGTGGTTTCATGGGACAGCAACATAGAAACCATGAGGTTTTTGTTGAACAGCCAATGTTGCATATTTCTGAGATCTCTGAGCTTGGTAGATGAAAACTGTACGAATTGTTCCCTGTGTCCAAGGAGAGAAGGGCCAAGGAGACTTGCACCACAAAACTCTAGCAAGAATTGTTGGAATGAGATTTCCCCTTATTCCTTATTCCCATTATTGTTGTTGTTGTCCTGCAGGAGGGGCCCTGCTGGGAGAAGAATCCAGCAAAGTTTTGGCCAAAGCAATGCTTGGCCAAATGAACTCCTGAGAGAAGCACAGAATGAAAGCAGAGGAAGTTTTCCCCTTTTCGTTTGGCCACACATGGATATAGGAGGCCCACATAAAACAGAAAGAGACTCTGAAAGGGAGAGCTATTTTTTTTCCAATTTATATCCTGCCTTTTTCCTACAAAAGGCTCAAGGCAGCTTACATCATTCTCCCCCTCCATCTTATCCCCACAACAACAACCCTGTGAGGTAGGTTGGGCTGAGAGTCTGTGACTGGCCCAAAGTCACCCAGTTGGCTCCATGGCCGAGCGGGGACTAGAACCCAGATCAGCTGAGTCCCAGTCCCATGCTCTTAACCACTACACCACACTGGCTAATTTTATCAAAGTCTTAACTCCCCCAGGACACAATAAGTGTCAAGATGGCACCACAGTCCTTGTACAAATTGCCCTTATGATTTCCCGTACAGGGTAAGTAAAGCAAGGTAAACTAGTTCATGTAAACCCCCAATCTTTGCTGCGAACCACCCAGAGAGCTTTGGTTATTGGGTGATATAGAACTGTAACAAATAAATAAAACCATCTTTGAAATATTATCATTACAACCTGGGTGGTGAGCCTATCCTTGTGTGAGGGAGAAACATTTTTTAACATTACATGAATGTAAAGTTGCTATGTATGAAAAGGAAGAACAAGAACTACAACTCCCACACATTCACCAAGCAGACATGCTAGCTGAGGAATGCTGGGAGTTTTGAGATTTTTCTTCTGTCTAAGCATGCACAAAATTACATCTTAAAATTGCCAATCTATTGCAATATTTGCAGTGCAGTCTTTTGCACTGCAAAAACTTACTGAGATTTATAGGACTGAAGCTTTAAGTATGCTTAACTATGTAACTGTATTAAATTGTGCCTGGGCTGTTTATGTCACTGTCTTGCCCACTGAACCTTCATTTTGCTATTTTCCAGTGTTGAACCTGTCTCCCACCAATTAGCCTAGTATTTCAGAGTTGGGAATAAGTCTGGAAATTGTACAGTTGAAGACTAAAGCCTAGTTTTTGCTAAGGTAGGAAAATCTGTTTTAGACTGAGACAGAGTTGAACACATGATTGCTTCATTATACAAGGAATTCCCTGCACACAGAAAAGTAGCTGTCAGGGAGGAGAATGCCAGAATTCTTCATTACAGACTATTCTTCTCTGTATGCTATTTGTATAATGGAAAAGCTCCATCATACAAGTCTCAAAAAACTCAGCTGCAGTCTCAAAGGGTTCAGCCAAGAAGCAAGGATGCCAACTCAGTGGCAGAGGCTTCCTCTTCTGGAGCAACATGCCAACAACAGTAAACAATTATAATCACCCTTTTATTATCTTGTTTATTTATTTACTGCTTTTGTATACTGTTTACAGCTAACAAAGCTTTCAGAAGAGTTTTTGGACATGACAATCTCAGATCCAAATCCCCACTCAACTGTAAAACTCACTTAGTGTCTTGGGCCCATAATTCTTCTCATAGGGTCAAATCCCAGGAAAATGTCAGAAGAAACATATTAGTGCTATTGTAAGAAGTCCTGTAGAAGATATGTTTGCTTTATGCTATGATGGAAAGAGGGGATGACAAACAGAGCCGCTCCAGCCACTTTGCTGAGAGTGCCTTTGGCTTATTTTGTATGTCTAAAGGCAGGGACCATCTTTTTAATTATTGTTGTTGCTGTTGTAATCTACTCCGGGAGCTGAATAATGGTGTGAAAAGGCTTTAGGGCACAATCCTATGCAGGCTTAGACGCTGGCTGGGAATGCTAAGGATTGTTTTACTTTTTTTCAGTCTAAACATGCAATAGATAGTAACTTGAAGAGATACATAAATAACAAATGTTCTAAGTAGAACAAGGAATGATGAATTGAAGAATATATCGTATTACAGGATTAATACTGCTGTTGACAAGTTTTATTTTCTATATTTTGAGAGCAGGATTATTAACATTTGAATTGAAGACCCCGTCTCATAGGTTTCCTGTAAGTCTAAAATGCTGTTCTTAGCTGCCTAGATAGAGTGGCAGACAAACCTATCAAATAAATGACATCCCAAACAAATTCACTGAAAATATGCATCTGCTCAGGAAATTTCAGCTCCCGCTAACATTATGTCCATTTTGCAGTAAAAGCACTGGTACTGACCTCAGTGCAGTACAGTCCCCTTTCTCAAATGAGAAACATCCTTCTTATGTCCTTCTTCTGAACCACCAAGAAACATGTCCACATATTATGGACATGTTTATGTCCACATAACCACTTAACATGGCATTCATGGTACACATTGGTGATATGTTGCCCCCATAAAGAAAGCAATAAAACACATGTTATACGGTGAGAGGAAAGGGATTCCCATTAAATAAGAGTGGACAGATGTACATGGTTTGATGTAAATAGGCCAAGGCTTTTTTCAGATTAAGCTGGATTGTATATGGCAAATGTATTCAAAACATCATAGCCTAACCTAAATGAATTTGAGAATCAGCTTGCTCATTCTAGCAAATGATGCAAAAACATCAACTCTGGCTGCTCAAGAAACTAAGCTCTGGATGTACTCCCAATAGTTGCTCTCTGTGTCACTACCCTGCTATGATTCAGGCACACAACAGCACAACTTTGCCTTTCTGACATGAAGAAAGTAAAAACAGTCTACATACCATAATCAGGCTCAGGCTGAACAGTTTTGATTCTCAGATATTCCCGGAAGAGAGCAACTGATGGATCTTCTTTGGGGTCTTTCTCCCCTTGCCTTTTAGGGTCTTTTTCTGGCAGCATGTTAGCCTTCTGGGTACAGGATATTTAAGCCTATGTGAACATAAGAAAGGGGCAGAAGGAAAGTAAGGGCAGAGGGGGCAAAAGAGAAAAGAATACCTTTCTTCCTTATTTGCAATTCAGAATGGTTATTTGTTGCTGCAGGTACTAACTTATAGAAGCCAGACATAATCAGGCCTTGACTCAGCCCCATCACATCTATATCCCATCAGTGAGGGTGTCCAAGGATAGGCTTGACATGCACATCCCTAGAGAGGTCCGCCTGGCGCCGTCATTATTTGTTTTTCGGCGCCAGGCTAAGACCTTTTTATTTAAAACTTATTTTAATTGCTAAATTATTGTATTTATTAGGATTTTAAATTAGCCGAGAATGCACTGGGGGTTTTAAATGTTTTTTTTTCTTTTAAATTGTTGTATTGTTATTGTTTATGTATGTTTTTCTGTATTTTTTGTGAGCCGCCCCGAGGCTTTGTTGCGATGGGGGCGGCATAGAAATGTTTTAAATAAATAAATAATGAGCGGAGCCAGGTGGAACTGGGAGATAGCTAGTTGGCCCAGGAGGCCCCTTCTGACTTGCTCTGTTTTTATGTTTCCGTGTCTCTATTACCATAAAGTCAGAATATTTAATTTAGTATTAAGCAGTGCTTTGTGCACTCTCTCATGCTTGAGTTTCTAGTATAAAGATGCAGAGTTTGGACAGGAGGAACATATGATGGTTAACAAGAAGCCGATACAGCTGTGAAGGTAACTGGTGATATGCTTACTTAATGAAAGCATTAAAACATGCATTTAACAAAAAGCGGGTGAATGTTGGGGAAATGAGTGACCAGGACACTGACTTACAACTTGGATATAGTGTTGCCACTTCCCCCCCTTACCAATGCTGTGTGCTTTTGCTAACTATATGCACAGCAGAAATTCAACAGGTATAGCCTTGTCCTGCATGCATAGGGAAAGATGCACCTGTTAGCAATTGTAAAAAGCAAAACATGATCACCGCTATGTGGTGGTTCTTGCTTGTAACATACATGTTTAGAACATCTGTTGAGGAAACTCTACCGCAGCCTTCCCCAAGTTGGTGTTTAAGACTACAACTCCCAGCACTGCTGACCTTTGGCTATCCTGGCTGGGGCTTTTCAAAACATTTGGAGGGCACCAAGATGGAGGAGGCAGCTCTAGAGTCCCTGATCTCCTGGGGTACTTTCAGATGGGACTTTTATCAAACCATCACCCAACCTCTTTTGTGAAATGTCATGTGGTCTTTCCACTTGTAGCTCTTCCTGGTTTTCCCATCACTTCTGCTTTTTCTCCATACCACAGAAAAAGGTGGGGAAAAGCATACCATGCTGTCTAATTCTAGGTGCCCTCTGTCTTGAAGCATTACTGGTGATAATAGGGCAACATGATACTAAGGAATCAATATTGTCCTTTTAGAAGTCACCAGAACCATTAGAAAATTACTGTAGCAAGTAGAGTGGAAGGGAGGCAGGTAGAATGAAAGGCACTACAGAAAAATATGTATAACCTTCTGGGGAGGATTAGGTGCTTAGGAAACCTGTAGATATATTGAGGAGGAAGGGGGAGAGAAGGGAAGACTATATGGTCTAAAGCAAGATAGGGGTCTTTTAAAGGCATACAAACAAAAAACTGAATGGCACAAGGATAGGCTTGTAAATATCTATCTGCCTGGCCAAGTTAGCTGAGATGACAATGCAACCCATCACTAGCCAAACTAAGTGTGAGTAGGCAAGTTACTAAATATTCCTGGTGTGTGTGTGTGTGTGTACAACTTTTGTGAATTTACATAAACATCCAGATGAAATTCAGCATAGAAAACAATCAGATATAAAGACACTGGGAGGAAAACTTAGGAAATGAGCAGAAATGAATTGAGCTGCAGAGATGCACAGGAAGATTTGAAAGCATTTACCAGGAGTTGAGGGGGATGATGGGGGGTATAGAACATATATATATATAAACTGCAAACAACGAAAAGCAGAAAGGGCAAGAAGGGGTTTATGCAAGTGGGCAAGGCTGAACGGGGAGGGGGAAGGCACATAACGGTGGGGATGGGGGTTATACTCAGCCAGGAAGGCTGTAACGGAGAGGCAAACTGGAGAGAGAGAGAGAGAGAGAGAGAGGGGGGGGGGGGGGGGGGGGGGGGGGGGAGCTAGCGAATTGCATGGGGCTTGGGGCTGGAATAGTGGATCCCGAGGTGCTCCTGGCGCCTCCGAACTGCCACGGGTGGCGTCCCAAGCGCAGGGCCGGAGCGGAGCGGCCCCCTCCCGGCAGCGCCTGGCTCTCCCAGCCGCTGCAGTCCGCCGCTCGTCTTCCCAGGTGCCCCTGCCCCGGCCCGGCTGCGGCCAAGTAAACAAGTTGCTCTGCAAGCGCCTCAGAGGAGGCGGCGGGCTGGCCTCTCCCCCTTCCTCTTTCCCGCAGGCAAAAGGGCTGGCGGCAGTGCGGCCCGGGCGCCGCGTCCGGGCTGGCAGGGGGGCCCTGCTAGTTGCCGCTTGCCCGCCCTTCTCACCCACCTCTCCGGTTGTCGCGGAAGCCACTGCCTCCCTCGAGTCCTCCTCGCCGGCTCTGCTGCACTCGCGGCGGCGGCGGCGGCGGAGGAGGAGGAGGCGGATGCGGCGGGCTGGGCGGGGGGACACAGCCCTGCCTCCAGTTCGCCCGCCGGCCGGCCGGCCGGCCGCACGCAGGGTCATTCCCGCGGGCAGCTGGCCGCCCTGCCCTCGCGTCCCAGGCAGCCAGGGGCCCTCCGGAGCACGTGGCGGGGTGGGGGTGGCAAGCCGCCAGGTGGCGGCGCTTCGCTTTTGGGACTGCCGGCCCGGAAGCCGCTTGCACCTCGCGCGAGCGGAGGAGGAGGAGGAAGACGCTGGTCGGGACCCTGCTGCGGAGGCTCGGGGGACTCTGTCGCCCGCAGTGCCGTTGTGAAAGGGATGCATGGGTCGCTTTTCTGTTTAAACGGCCTCAAGGCCACTCACAGCAACACTGAAAGTCGGAAAAATGTATTGTGAACAGTTAAAAAGAATTTCTGCTAGACTATCACAGTTGTATTAGTCCTTCTTAGAGAAGACCCATCCAAAGAATAGGACTTAGGATAGAGTAACATAAGATAGAACCCGTTGGATACTTATTTCTTTCGTGTCTATACTGACCCATAGCTGAAGCCATATTTAACTTGTGAATCGCCCTAACCTTTCACCTCTGCCATGAACTCATCATCCTCAAGCAGGTTTGGGCAGAACACGGCAGTAATGTTATCTATAGTTAAATTAAAATTATTTACTACAGTCGCAGACCAGCATAAAACAGAACTATTAAAGTCACTTCGCCATTATCATAAACAACATAGGATTTAAACATACTAAATACTACAATTGTGGACTCAAAACTAAAATGATGGTAAAGTTAGGGTTAATAATAAAACATAAAATATCAATAAAGCCTCCCAAGTAACCTAGCCTTATTGTGTTGCTATATAATCCCATGCACTTTAACTTATTTTTTAACAATTCTAAGATCCATCATAATGGGCCGTGGAGTCTAACATTTCTCATATTCCACATTAGAAACCACCACAGTCCCAACATCTTTTCTTGGGTGTTAATCACAGTCGCAAGAAATTTGGAGACACTGTATGTAATGGTGGGTTTATAGTCTGATAGCAACAAATAGCTGTAATATTGACTTGTACATCCTGGGAACCTATTCAGCAATGGGGAACTAAAATCAGCATGAATGTCTCTATAGAACATACAGTTAAACAGAACATGGTCCATGGTTTTGATTTGTCCTGAGGCACAAGGACATAACTGCTCTAAAAACAGCATCTTTCTATAACAGCCCTCTAGGACTGCTGAAGGAAGTCCACCACAGCGGGCCAGTGTGAACGCCCTTCTGTATTTGGGAACCTCCAGCTGAGTGAGATAATAATATAGATACACCTTATCTCTTAGATTCACTAATTTAAAATTCATTTACGCTGCTAAGATCTCTTTGGCGCTCTGTGTCTATAGTTCATTGTTTAATAGTTACCTTAGCCTGATCAAAGCCCATATTGAACAGAGTTGATGGGGAAAGACCCAAAGCTGCCAGTTTCAGCCCATTTGTCTGGATCATCAATTTTCCACAAGCAAATTTTAGGCACCCTAGCAAATGCCATAACCTTGGTTTTTTGATAATTGATCATGAGGCTATTCTCTTGAGAATAGATGGTCAATGCACTCAGGACTCTTCTGAGATGAACGGGAGCCCTTGAAGAATAACTGTATCACCGGCATATAATAAAATGGCTGTATGCCTCCGCACAATCTTTGGGGGGGGGAGGTGAAAGTTACTGCTATTAAGGTAATCTACCATTGAATCAATGTAAAGGTACATCCCTGCTTGACTCCCTTCTGCGTAGGTACCGTACTTTTAAGCTGTATCTAACCCTAAGGGATTTGTCTCTATACAAAGATTGAATGAGCAGTAATACTCATAGGTCGAAGTTAGAAGCTTCCAATTCCTCCCATAATTTAATTCACAAGATAGAGTCAAACTCTGCCATAAGATCTATAAAAGCAGCATAAGGAGGTCACCCTATTAGAGATATACTTCTCAATTAAGTGCTGGAGTGCAATGCATTGATCAATGGTAGAGCAGCCCTCCCTAAAAGCTGCTTGTTCTTCTGCAAGTAATTGTCCTTGTTCTAACCAGCTCTTAAGCTTATCATATAAGTGTCTTGCATAGAGCTTGTTGATAGTCCTAAGTAGGCTAATAAGCCTGTATTGGAATAATAATTGCAGATCCCCAATCTTCAGGGATTTGACCACTCTTATCAATATAAGAGAAAGGTGATGCCTAAACCAGTGCCCACCAATCCATATTATATCTTTAGAGGGCTCCATCTCAAGAGTAGCACAACTGTCTCCATTTTCAATACTTACAACATATGAGGTCTCAAGGAAGGGAGGATAAAGTTTTCAATTTTAAGTGTTTCTTCTTCCTTTTCCTTGCTTCTCTTTCCTCAGTGGGGCTCTCCATAAGATTATACTTTTCCGCAGTTTTTTCTTCCTCCTAGTTAAAGCTGTTCCTTACTTATAGCTATAATGTTGCAACAAACCCAGGCACAAACAGGAACTGCAGTTAGAGAATGTTACTCCGACGCCATCTTTCCTCCTTGCCACGTCCTTATCTATGGTCATATTTTGCATCTTGCCATGATCCTTGCATTGTACAACTACCTTGCACATTACAGGGTGGTGTGCTGAAGCACAGACATTTGCCCAAATAAAGTTGGTGGTAGGGACAAGGAACTTTCCAGCCACCCTTGAAGCTCTAGAATTCTACTCATTATATTTCTGATAATCCTTCAAAATGGGGCTCTGAATTATGACATATGCAGTGGGAGAAAGAAAGACCATTACTTTCCCCCTTTCTGTAAAGCACATCTCATTGGGTCCACAATTTTAGGTTGTTTGTTGGCAAAATCTACACAGTGCAAGTTTAGAGAGGAAAAAAAGACTACAACTCCCCACATACTCCAGCCAGCAAAGCTTTGTAGGCTGTCTGAACATGCATAGAATGGTGCCCAAGTTGATTTACATGGCATGGCCCTCTGAGTTTGGAATGCGTAGGGAATTCTTTGCTCAGCACTTCCTTCACCCTTCAAAACTTTCAGCTGTTTAAACACTTAAAAAGAGAGGAGACTGAGACATCACCGGATTCCTCATAGCACGGCAGTGCCTAAGACCTACTATTTCTGCCCTGCACCTCCGAAGAATCCCACCTGCAGCTGGTCAGTCTCCAAGAGTCTTTGGTTCTGCGGCCAGCAGGGACAGAACTGTGCTGGCTGTGAGGACAGACAAAAGGTGCTCCAAAGTTGAAGTTAAAATCTGTCATTAATATTCAGGCTCCTAAAAGTTTGGAACCAGAAGTAGGGGCCACTTTCCCACTTGCAGACTTCGCCTGCCATCACAATCCTATCCCAATCTACTCAAACGCAAGTCCCATTGAATAGGACTTACTCTCAGATAAATAGGCATAAGATTGCAACCTTCAAGTATCATCATTTCAGGGTGCAGTTTCTAAAAAAGAAAGATGCCACCCAGCATTCAAGTTTAATCTTAAATATAAAATGATGCTCAGCATGTGCAGAGTACCTTGTCATACAGGGAACTTGGTTTTTAATTGCTTTGCCTGTCATGCCTCACAGCCTCGGTACTGAAAAATATACCCTCCCATTCTGTATTTGATGTGATTTGGCATATTGAAAACACATTTGAGGTGGATGTCGGCATGGAAGGGACCGCTTTCTTCTCCTAGGCTATGTGCAGTGTTTATGAACCCAAACCACTCAATTACTTCAGGGTGTTGTATTTTGCTATGCTACCACCTGCACAAGAGTAGCTTTTGCAACCACATTTACTAAAAGTATATTATTGTTCAAAGTTTAAACCAAGCATTAGCCACCCATGTGGTGGGTCACGTGAAGCAGCTGGCAGTCCTCAATACATTGAAAGCAGGAAGTCTGTGGTTAGAATCTGGCATCCTTGGGCAGCTGCCAGCTCCTGGCACGTTAGGAAGGCCCTCCACTGGCATTTTAGCAAAAACAAAATCAAAAGAGCTGTGCAGAGCTCCAAATACCAGCTGCTATTTTAATTTTCCACACTGCCAGAACATCTGTCTCGGCATTGTGGGAAATGAAATGGTGCCTCCCTAAACACAGGACTACCTGGAGCACTGCTAGCTACTGCTTTGCTCAAATCTGTAGTGTCTCAAAATTGCTTTTAAAAAAGACAAGTATTATTGCCACTGGTGGAGTGAGGGACCACCCGAAGGTACTCTCCTGAGGAGCCCCTATTCAAATCTGAAACTGGCCGCAAGAGCTTGTAGGTTGCTATCAACTTGGCAGTCACAAGTAGCACCAGCCTATTGTAAGCAATAGACTGCTGCTGTATGTGCAGATTGGAGGGCAGGTATCAGCACTCCAAAGCAGTGCCGGAGCAGTATGTTCAGCTTTTTGAAGAAACTTCCCAATGCAGCTTCAAGAGACTCAAGTTTTGAGCAAAGCAGTTGTGGACTCCTTAACGATTTCTCCGCTGCCCATTTTTCTGCTTGAAATCTCCCCACCTTCCATAGGATTACTTTCTTCACCTATTTTCTAGCTAGCCTTTTTGAACCCATTTGCTGGTAATTTTCCTGCAAAATATGCAGCAGGCCTGCCCGGGCACTAACCATTAAGTGGTCTTTCAGCTTCTTCATGACCATCATACAGCGCCCTCGCAGCGATAATCTCTCTTCTGGATGCAAATCTGAAAAGCCAATTTGTAAATGTATAGGAAATTTAACCGGGAACTTCCTGGTGCACAGCTCACATTCTTGACCTCAACAGCAATCTTCTCATCTATACATTAGTGACCCTGAAATCAGTGACCCCTAAACACGCCCATGGTTGCTCATGTTGCCAGATGCACCTGTATTTCTAGAAGGAAGAGGGGAAAGCCTCATTTTCATTACTCAGCACTACAAGCCGCAATGAAATCCTACTGCATGTAGTCAATGCATAATCATGCTCACAGTGTGGAACCTTTTGAGATGTGATCGCTTGTGACACTTAA